CTAGTTTATTAGCAACACACACCGACGGCAGACAACCGACGGATAAACAGACGAGACCGTACTTGAGTAGGACTCCGAGCCAAGTAAGCCTCAGACGGGACTTTTCTTTAACCTCCTACGACAGTAGTATTTTCGACCCCGAAGAAATTTACCAACTACAAGAAATGGCACAACGTTCAATCGATTTAACCCTCGTTGAGAATGACGGAACTCGTCCGGAAGATATTCAAGGTTGCTCAACAGCCCGAGTGACCGAAGTGCGGGACGACGCGACTGGTGGAACATCCGCGTTATTGCACGACTTATTACGAGAGATCCGAGGAATAAAGACTCGTATGGATCAAATAGAGGAGCGCGTGGAGCTTAACCGAACACATCCGATAGAGCAGGTTAGAACATATCGCGACTATCAAACTAACGCGCTCGACGTAACGTCGTACGGACGAACTCGAGACGACGTGCGAAATAGCATCGGAGCGCCCACTAATTTCCTACGCTTAAAAGAAGCCCTTCACATGATCCCGGAATTCGATGGGACTTGGCGTCAGCGCGTTCGAGAATTTTTGAACGCTTGCGATTACGTTATACAAAACGTCAATCCCGCGGACGAACGAACGCTATTGGGAGCCATCGTAAGCACCAAACTAAAAGGAAAGGCTATGATGGATTTCTATACGAGAGACGTGCGAAGCTACGCGCAGTTAAAAGCGGATCTCGAAAGCGAGTATTTAAGCACCCGCAGTACTATACATCTCCAAAGGGAATTCAACACCTTAAAACAGAGAGCCGGGGAAAATGCTCAAAGTTTCGGAAGACGCGTAGACACCTTAGCCATGGAACTATATGAATCAACCATAGAGGACGGTGAACACACTCTCGAACACCAACAGGCGACACTACAGCTAATAAAACGACAAGCGTTACAAAATTTCCAAATAGGGTTGCCCGATGATATACAGGTATTAGTCCGTTCGCAAAAATATAAAACGCTGCAGGAAGCAGTGGTCGCCGCCAGCGCGGAAGAAAAAATCAAAGGGGGGAATAATCGAAATTACCTCAAAACAAAAATAGAACCGAAGCTGCACGAGCGACGGCATTCACATCGGCGCGATCGACATCTCCACAATGTCAAAAATGTGGAAAAACAGGCCATTTTACACGGGATTGCAGAAGTAAATTCATCCTACCCAAGGCCGAAGGACAACCACGCGTAAACGCTATAAATAAATATTGCAAGCATTGTGAAAAGACCGGGCACGTGCGCGATGAGTGCTGGTCGCTGCACGGTCGACCCGCAAGAAACCACGCGACGCGACGAGAAGCGAGCGTAAATAAAATTACACGAAATCAGAGATATGATAACATAAATACCGATAAGACGGATACACGGCAAACGAAAAGAAATTCGGAGCTGAGGGACAGCGAAGAAGAAGGAGCAACCTCCAAGCCGCGTCCCGCGCTTGAGTATCGGGTTACGCATGTAACGAAAGAGGCACTAACCGATCTCGGATTAGATTTAGTGACGTTACCTGTACGCGAAGCTAAACACGAAAAAATAAACTTCCTCTATGACACGGGCGCAACAATTTCTCTCCTAAAGTTAAAAACGCTCAAGGACACCGCCCTGATATATGATGAGAAAATTAAACTCACTGGAATAACGGGTCATACTATTACTACAATAGGAAGAGCCTACGTGACGATTCAATTACAAGACGGCACCGTGAAACATCCGTTCTACGTAGTAAAAGATAACGAAGCCATGGACTATGACGGTATACTAGGGGCCGACTTTATTAAAAAATACATTATTACCTGCGACTATCGAAACCACCAGATTCAAATCGGCAATACAAAGTTTAAGCTTCGTCCGTATAAGCGTATCATGTTAAAGCCGCGAAGCGAAACTATTGTGCAGGTCACGGCCGATCGAAATATAATCGGCGTGACACGAGCTGAAGAAACGGCGCCCGGAATTTTTATCGGGAGTTGCCTGGTAGAGCCCCATGAATTTTCTTGCCCCGTGAGCATTCTAAACACCACGGAGAGCGCGACAGAAATACAAGTGCCACATGTAATAATAGAAGAATTAATAGAAGTAACAGAAGAAACCGTCGAAATGGCAGCGATCAATATAACAAAAATCAATGATGAGGTCAAACCACCTCGCAAAGAGAGAGTCAGACATCTTCTGAAAACTGCTCATTTAAACTCAGAAGAAAAGAAAACATTAGTATGCATATGCGAAGAGTATAGCGACGTGTTCCATCTGGAAGGAGAACCACTGACGTGCACGGATCGGATATCGCACGAGATAACGACGCGAGCCAACTCCGCGAGCGTGAACGTGCGACCATACCGATTACCCGAGAAACATAAACTTGAAGTAAATAAACAAATTCGCGAAATGTTAAAGCACGAAATAATTCAGTCTAGTACCAGCCAATGGAACGCACCTCTTTTAGTCGTACCGAAAAAATCAGACTCGTCCGGAAAACCAAAATTAAGAATTGTCGTGGATTTTCGAAAATTGAACGATCTCACGATCGGAGATTCGTTCCCCATTCCAAATATAACCGACATATTAGACCAATTAGGGAATGCAAAATATTTTACAACGTTAGATCTCGCATCCGGCTACCACCAAATACCTATGGCGGAGCACGATAAAAAGAAGACAGCTTTCTCAACACCCTACGGTCACTACGAGTTCAATCGCATGCCGTTCGGTTTAAAAAATGCACCGGCGACTTTCCAGCGATTGATGAATACAATATTAACGGGAATTCAAGGACTAAAATGTCTGGTATACCTAGACGATATAGTAATCTACGGACCGAGTCTAGAAGAACACAATAAACGTCTAACCGAAGTTCTCAAAAGATTACGTAAAAATAATCTCAAATTACAACCCGACAAATGTGAATTTTTGCGGAAAGAAGTAATTTATTTAGGGCACATAATTACCGAAAACGGAATATTGCCCGATCCGACTAAATTAGAGGCTGTGAAAAACTTTCCGGTACCGAAACAAGTGAAAGACATACAATCATTTATCGGATTAGCCGGATATTACAGAAAATTTATTGAAGACTTCTCTAAAATCGCTAAGCCATTAACGAAATTAACCAAAGCAAGCGAAAAATTCGTGTGGACCTCAGAACAACAGTACGCGTTCGAAGAATTAAAAACTAAACTAACTACCGCACCCGTACTGAAGTACCCAGATTTCGAACAAGAGTTCATCGTCACGACGGACGCATCAGATTACGCCGTCGGCGCCGTATTATCTCAAGGTACGGTAGGTCAGGATCGACCGATCTCATATGCTAGCCGTGTATTATCGCGAGCAGAGCAAAATTACAATACAACGGAAAAGGAATTATTAGCAATCGTATGGGCAGTAAAACATTTCCGACCATATTTATACGGAACAAAATTTAAAATCATTACAGACCATAAACCGTTAATATGGCTGTTTAACGTTACTGACCCCGGATCAAGATTAATTCGTTGGCGATTGAAACTCGAGGAGTATGATTACGAAATCATACATAAGTCAGGTAGAGCTAATGCAAACGCGGACGCGTTAAGCAGAAACGTCGCCACTATATGCGCCCTAGATAAAAAGGAAGAAGATGAAATCGAAAAAACTTACAGTGAAGAAGAAAAGCAACAAATACTTTACGAATATCACGATGCACCTACAGGAGGACATCAAGGAATTGACCGCACTTTAAATCGAATACGAATGTATCATACATGGCCAGGAATTACAAAAGACGTGGAACGATACATTGCAAAATGCGATTATTGTCAAAAGAATAAATTAAAAAGAAAGGCAAAAGCACCCCTAATAATAACCGAAACGCCTGACAAGCCTTTCGAGAAATGCGCCCTAGACATCGTAGGACCGCTAACAACAACAATTCAAAATAATAAATATATATTAACATTTCAGGATTGCTTAACGAAATT